CATATATTTTAAACCAAAATTTGCAAAAAAAATCTTTTGAATTAATCAACAAAATTAAAGATATCAAAATTCCTTCTAAGGCAACACTATTATCTTTTGATGTACAAAACTTATTTCCCAGTATTGCACATATGAATGTGTCAGATTTAGTAGATTTCACCCTCACTTGGGAACAGGTCAACCCATTGGTGAAACAAGATTTAATAGATTGCTTAATAGCATCTTTAGACCAAAATTATTTTGAATTTAATTAATTAATTTAAGGTTTGATTATGGGAAACCCACTTAGTCCTTTGTTAGTCGAGATTTTTATGGATAATTTGGAATATATCATACTTGAACATCCTTTATGTAAAAGTTTTCTATGGTGGTGTAGATACGTGGATGATGTCTTTGCTTGCTTTGTTGGAACGGACATTAAATTACATTAACTCATTACATAATCGTTTAAAATTCACTATCGAGATTGAACAGGATAACTCTATTAATTTTTTAGACTTAACTATTACGAAAACGCAAAACAAATTAAATATTTCCATTTACCATAAACCTTCACACACGGACGCAGTCATACATAACAGCTCAAATCACCCTTATACACACAAAATGACTATGTTTCACTCTTTTATACATAGATTTCTTAATACGCCACTCACACAGAAAATTACAACAAAGAACTTTATATCATTAAACAAATAGCACTGAACAACGGCTACAATCCGTCCATTATAGGTAAAATTATAAATAAAAAACAAATCCAGACAACAGTAAACTCTATTTATCCGAAACCTAATACAGAACACGAACAGTTTAAAACAATTACATTCATAGGAGAACCCAGTGAAACAGCTACAAAACATTTGTCAAAATGTTCTTTAAAAATAACTTTCAGAACTAACAATCATTAAAGGTTTTATTGTCATTTTTCGGTATATATAGTAGCAGGAAGTTTGTAAATATTACATTTGATGAACACACGGTGTTCTCGAAACAATTGTCATGTGTCAATATATAATTTCGTGAAAATCTGAACTTTTAGTTCTCATTTATTTTGTACCGCAAGGTTCCGCCCTTGGACCTATATTATTCTTAATTTGTATTTCTGATATTTATACATCCGTCGAATATTTGAATTTGCTGATGACACTCGGCTATTTTACTCGTTCGATCCCAAATTATTTGATATTCCTTCGATTTCTCTATCCAATAATAGTTCTTGCTGCTGCTCCTATATCACAAATTAACATAACCTAAAGATACCTCTCCTGCTCAAAATGCCTAGTGCAAAAATGGATAATGGTTTACGTGATAAATAAATATGCAGGAAAGGTGACGTAGTCGATTTTTCCTTTTCGCTTTGCTGTGTGCTACGGCTATTAACGCTATTAGCTCAAAATATTATTGCATATCTTTTCGGCCCGGTTCGTATATAACGACGACTTGTAGGACGACAGATGCGACCGTAAAAGTGACCCGGAATCTTCGTAAATCACCTCGTAAAACTGTCAACCGAAAAACACGTGTTACACACCCGAAAACATCGCCGATTAAGAATATTTTGGTAAGGCAATTAATAGGGCGGAGTCCCGTTACGGGATATTTACGAGCCGGCGTTCCACATGGGAAACGTATCCGAATCAAAGAAATTAGTTTTCGGGACCGAATTTTATTTTTCACGTTTTATGTCTTACAATATAGAGAGACGCAACGTGTCCCATAAGAAATGGCTTAAGAGGGGCATGTATGGTCTGTTCATAGATATAAGAAAGTGACCAATTGCTTTTGAATGGGATTATTCAAGCGTGGTCATTAACGTACAATGCAACAAGATTATTACTTAAAGTTTCGGAATTTAAATTCAGGTAAAATTGTGGTCCGTAATAAAAAATAATTTTATACCTAGCTGCGTTTAATATTCTTTGGTTTCGTATACTACTTAGTAATCATTCTTATTTCGTGTGTAATACAGCGTGTGCAAAATATGTGCGAGTCTAGTGTATCTCAGGAGATGCTCCCGCCCAAATGTAGGCAACACTATTCTACTGAGACTAAGGAAGTTATAAACAATGTTTATTTGGCTCTCATTGAACGTGGTGCCAGCAAGCAAGCATTTTGCAGAGAACGACAAAGGCCAATGATTTACTTGAATGAAAGCTGGTTCGACACTTATGATACCCGGAAAAGGGTTGGGTCGACTCGACTGGTAAGTGTAAAACAAACGCGCCATCAAACAGAGGTAAAAGAATAACTATTTTGCATGCAAATGGACTTTCAAAACATTTTAATGGAAATGATCGAGTCCGGAGACTTTATTAGTAAAGCTTAGAAAGAGGTGACAGTGGAAATAATTCAACCTTGCTATCGTCATGCAGGACTTATTACCGAAACAGAATGCGAACAGGACTTGGAAGAGATGATCAGCCACTAGGCGAGTAGATAAAGCGGTTTCAAACAACAATTACGTTTACAAGTGATGAGTTGCAAGATTTAATGGCGATAGATCAGGATTTGCCTACAACAGCAGACTTGACAGAGGAAGCCATATTACAGCAAGCAAGGAAGGGTGAGGAAGAGCACCAAGAGGAAGAAGAAGATGAAGAAGTTGATCTGGGACCACCACCAACCATTCAACAAGCCCTATATTCGGTTAAGCTGCTAGAGAAATTTTTTATTTATCATGGGGTGCCTCTTTCGAAGAAATGGTTAAAATACAAGCCGAAGTACGAGATGCGTATTGGCATACTAAAAAAATTCAAAAGAAAATGGCCCATTATTTGAAACATTAAATGTAGTTCTTAGATATTGATATAAAATGTTCCTAAGTAGATGTTAAAATATTGGGTTATTCGGAAAGTCATTTCGTTTTTTTTGGGGAACATGAAAGACAGTTTTCGTATAATGAATAAATATTTTATTAAATTATATATTGGCCATTCTGGTCCAACACCTTTTGCCATCTTTCTGGCAGTAACATAATTCCCCTCTCATAAAAGTTTTGGTCCTTGCTGCCAAAAAACTGGTTCAGGTGGTTTTTGACATCTTCATTTGAGGTAAAGGTTTTGCCAACCAAAAAATTTTGCAGGGACCGGAACAAATAGTAGTCGGAAGGCGCCAGATCTGGAGAATATGGTGGATGTTGCAGTACGTCCCATTCAAGCTGTAAACGTTTTTGGCGAGTGACCAAACTTGTGCGAGGTCTCGCATTATCCTGGTGGAACACTACACCCTTCTTGTTGATTAATTCGGGCCTCTTCTCTTTAAGTGAATCATTCAATTTGTCCAGATGACAATAGACTTCTGAATTAATCGTTGTATTGTCCGGCAAAAGCTCAAAAAAAAACGATTCCTTTGACATCCCACCAAACGGAGAGCATCACCTTTTTTTGGTGAATGTTGGCTTTTGACACGCTTTGAGCCGGTTCATCTTTTCTGCTCCATGACCTCTTGCGTTTAACATTGTTGTATACAACCCATTTTTCGTCCCCAGTAATAATCCGCTTCAAAAATGGATCATTTTCTTGACGTTTGAGGAGCGAATCACACACGTCAACGCGACGACACAAATTTCGCTCCGTAATGACATATGGCATCCACGCATGGAGCTTCGAGGTTAAGCCGATGCCTTTCAAATGGCCATAAACAGTCGAATTCGACAAATTTAATCTCTCACCGATCTCTCGTGTGGTTATTCGCCGATTTGCATCAACTAATGCCTTTATCGCATCTTTGTCAGCTTCGACCGGCCTTCCAGACCGTCGTGCATCTTCGACATCAAAATTGCCGGATCGAAATTTTGCAAACCAGTTCTGGCACTGGCGTACTGCTAACACGCCTTCTCCATACACATCCGTCAATTTTTTTCTTGCTTGGACAGCATTTTTATCTTTTCTGAAGTAAAAAAGTAAAATTTGACGAAAATACTGCTTATTGCTCTCCATATTTAAAAGGGCACCAACCAAAAACTACTGCGTAGAATTAATAGAACTTTTTCACACACAAGCCTTGCAATATCAGCTCTCAAGACATATAATGGTTATGCGGCTTAAGTGTGAAGTTGGTTTCGAAAAAACGTAATTAAGTCCTCTGACGGGAAAAAACGAAATGACTTTCCGAACAACCTTATATGTATGTAAAATAATTACATATTACAGAACACGTATGCGTATTGTTATATGTTTATAACGCAAACTCTTTATAATGAAAAAAAAGTCAGTCCCTTCTATTTCGCTATATAAAGTTTCGACATTTTCTAAAAGAAAAAATTTATAAATATTAATAATTAAACAGCGTACAACGCTAATTCTAAAAATATTCTTATACATGCCGTCGATTACGAAAAAATACGCGTAACCTATTTCCATTCGCATTTACAAGTGAAAAAGTCGATTTGTGGCTAAACGGTAACACTTATCGACTTAAAACAAGAGTAACTATTTTCGCGGATTTGTGATCCTGCTTATGGTAATCTTTACTATTTTGCAATATCGGTCTAAATAATTAAAATACAGGGAAAATAAAAAAATGTACTAGGTAAAGTGCCCTCTCGTGGCAGATTTCTGAAACACTGTTATTTTGTGCTAAATCGGGGCCGTGTGTAAAATACCAGCATATTTCGTTGAGAATCGAGCCCACCGCGTTAAGAATAAAATTTAAAAAAAATTTAAAAAAAAAAAATTAAAAACGTTAAATAAAGCGTAATCTTGAGTAACGGTAAATTTTCTTCGACGAATTTCCCTATAGCTTTTGTTTTTATTTAAGTCGCTTTTACAGATTTCTCGGTTTCTTTTTTTTTTTGTATCTCGGACAGCTGCCGTCCGTAATTTTTAAGGCGCGAACCCCTTACCCCCCACCCCCCTCGCGGCACTTAAAACGCCGTGTTTACGTTCGGATCACGTAGGCGCGTTTATTTCGGCAGCGACGCTCATTTGTTGTCGATTTCAATTTTTACTATTAATGTCGTCAGTGACGCGGGGCAACGATCTCTCTCTCTTTGTCGACAGTGTGGACGGAGACCGGGGACTTCAGAGCCGCCGGCGGGGGCGGTATTTCGAGCGGCGGCTCGACCCCGATGGACCATCCCCAACTGCCGTTCCCTGCCGCCGTCAGGAGTCGCACCCGCGACAGAAAAGGTAATTATTTAAAAAAGAATGCTTAGTTACCGTGCGTTCAATTTATCTCGATAATATTTTAATTCGCTCTAACTTTTTTGTTTTTAGAGATATCGAGGTAAACAAAAGTGAAGTATAAAACAAAACACTATCAATTTTCTGACTTATAAACCTACATAATAACAATATAATCTGAACTCAGTTCAATTCTATGGCTCAAAGCCAAAGCTTTCGAAAATCTTATTTATGCCAATAACAATTTTTTTTAATTTATAGGAAAACAGTTACTAATCGGTAACGTTTTCTTTTTTATTAAATACTTTTTTATAAATAATTATTTTTATTGTATGTAACATTATAAATAGGGGTGAGTAGAGCGAAGCCAAAGTTTGGGTAAATTTAGTTCAAGTTTTTCAAAATACGATAATGTCACGATATAACGCGTGAAATATTCTGAAACTGGTTCGTTATAAACGGTATACATATAATAAATAAAAAAATATGTACCATCTACGTACGTATGTTCTCTCCAAGAAAATCCAGAGTCGGCCAGTCAACAAAAGAGGTGATGGCCACGATCTTTTGGGATTGTGAAGGAATCCTTTTGATAGATTTTAAAGAAACGGATACCACTGTCAATGGTAAATATTACGCAACATTATTACATAAATTGCGGGACTGCATACGTGTAAAACGTCGAGGAAAATTGACCAGAGGCGTGCGTCTTTTGCACGAGAATGCACCTGTCCGTACTGCTGGTGTTGCACAAGCTGCCATTTTAAAGTGTGGGTTCCAACAGATAAATCATCCTCCCTATAGCCCAGATATGGCCCCCAGCGACTATTGTTTGTTTGGACATTTGGAAAAGGACTTACGTGGACGGCGGTTTAACGACGAACTTGAGTTAAAAGAGCTCATTTTGCCGACAAACCAAAAGAATATTTTCTTAAAGGGATTGAGTTGTTAATAAAGAGATGTAATAAGTGTATTGAAGTTAAGGGGGATTATTTTGAAAAATAATGAAAAAATGTCACTCCTTCATATTCAGGCCGGGAAATTTTGGCGCTGCCCTCGTATATCTATTTTATGTATGGAGTGTGTTTATTTTTTTAAATGCAACGCTGCGAAGATTTCGCGTATTTTTGGGTTATTGTGAATAGCATTTCAGAGAAATGCACTTTGTCACTTTTGAGAATTGAGAATTTTTATTATGGATCCATACTGCTAAAACATAGCATACAGGGCGGTCGCAAATTAAAAAACTCTTTTTTTTTAAATAGAACACCTCGTATTTAGCACTTTTATTGCGTGTCGTTTTCTATATACCGGGTGCTTGAAATTCGGCTCTCACCGTTAGGATCTCGGTAACGGCACAGAGATACAGGGCGACTTAAATTGGAAATGGAAAAGTTGTTTTCTCTTAAAAACTACTCCAAATTAACGACAAAAATTGCTCAAAATCAAGCCAATAATTAGAATTTTAAAAAATATTCACGTCGTATTTATTGAAAAAAAAAGTTATCGTAATTGGACCGCCCTGTAGGACGCTAATTGTCACTGAAAAGTTCCACGAGAGGTAGATTGTCCTGTATACGCGTTGATATCGCCGCGTCCTTAATAAACAGACGCTGGTAAACACGCAGATACCTTTGGGGCGGCGGATCCCGCCCCCATCGATCATGTTCCCGCTGACAGGACGCACTATTGGCGTTTTTACCGACATCTTCACCTGTCAGATAGCGAAGTACGATCGGCCAGCGCGTTAGTCGACGAGTTTCGCGAGATCCCGCGACGTCATTATCGCGCTAGTCGACTGGGCGTACCGCAGGGTATCGATTTCTGCCGATAAGGCGCGGAAAGTGATACGGTAATTGATATAACCAACGATCTCTACCGAGTTCTGGTCTAGATGGGCAAACTGATTCCAATCAAGTGATTTAAATCAAACTCAAAAAGGACAACGTAAAAATCTCAAAAATCAGGTGTCTACAGGTTGAAATGCAGCTCATGTCCTAAAATTTATATTTGACAAACAGGTAGATCCTTCAAGAAACCCATTAACGAACATAAAAGATCGTTTAAAAACAATAGTCTAGATTCTAATTATGCTACACACTTAAACACAGAAAAACACATTTTTGACGACATTTTTGAGATTAGCAATGTGAGCCATTTAAATGTATTGCTTAACGATCAATTAGAATCAATCTGAACTTTTAGTTCTCATTTATTTTGTACCGCAAGGTTCCGTCCTTGGACCTATATTATTCTTAATTTGTATTTCTGATATTTATACATCCGTCGAATATTTGAATTTGCCGATGACACTCAGCTATTTTACTCGTTCGATCCCAAATTATTTGATATTGCTTCGATTTCTCTATCTAATAATAGTTCTTATTGCTGCTCCTATATCCGCTTCTGAATTTCTTATAAAATTGTAAACAGTCAAAACAATTTGTTTAGTTTTTATTTGCTGAGGTAGTTCGTCTTCTAAATCGCACTGTATTGTACTGTACTTAATGCAGAATAAACATCTGGGGGATGGATTATACCACGGTCCTGCAGAAGTCTGCGGTTAAAGTACTGTAAAATACTAAAATATCAAAGCACTATATTGTTGGTCGTACTATATACAATACTATACTAGAGTGTCCGCCAATCATTTACATTGTAGTACTACCACTGCTATATATTTACCATTTAAATTACCGGCAACAACGCGGTAAAGCGCGCCATAAACGCGACGCGAACAGAGTACGCCCGAGCCACTCGTGGCGTTCTTTTCTTGTTGCCCGATCGCAAAGCGAACGTCAGTTTTATATGGCAGCGAACATTCACACCGACCGATTAATTTCAGTTAAACATAAAGCTTTATAATCCCCAGGACGTCTCGGGAAGACTATTTCAAGCGGGACGGAAATAACGTCTCACCGTCTAGGATTAGCTGTAACGACAGGCCTCAGACACACGTTAAGGGCGACCATGCACCCCCGATTTTCCTGCGAATCGAGTTTGTTGAGAAATTTGTGAAGAATGCGCAATATCGAACTCATTTGGGTTAATGTTCAGATGTGTTCGTGAAGAAATTGAAACGAGAGGATATGGAAGGAAGGAAAAATGCGGGAGATATTGGTGTGTGCGATAATTACGGAGGGCTAGTATTAAAAAATGCAAAAAACAAGCACCTGGGCCAGGAAATATAAAAATGGAGTTGTTGAAATATGATTTGAAAAAGGAGAAGAAATTCCTAGAGAATGAAGTGGTTATACATGTCTTCCGCATATAAAAAAGGAAATAAGCTGTCAACTAACAATTATGAAAAAAAAACCAACACGTGGGTGATTTAAGCGAAAAACAATCAGGTTCCGGAAAATCCCTTTTCAAAAGACAAATTACGGGGCTAGACTTCTATCCGTCTGCCAAATCTGAAGTCGACAGCTGCAAATTTGAGACACCTGTTAATTTTTTAATATCTTGAACACCCTGTACAACAGAAGAAAACCTTAAAAACAAAAATTTTAGCTGTTTATGCTGGCTATATCGTCATGTAAAACGAACTGATATCCGAAGCACAGTCTTTCAATTATAGTCAATTTTCAATAATGGGGCGGCCCATTTTTCAGTTTTTTTCAATTTGTAAATTTTTGAAAAACTTTCACTAACAAAATTTTATGGAGCCGAATCTTCTGCGCATACATACGGGCATGCAGTGTTGCCAAGCGTTGCCCTTTTTCCCCGAACATCGGGGAGGCAGTTTTAATCGGGAAAAACGCTGCGATCGGCATGTGGGGGCGGGGGGGCTCGAAAACGTGCACGCGCGGAACGGAAAAGAAGGAAAAATAATTGCGCGGAATCTTCCGATCGGCTTTGCCGGCACTTTTCCGGGCTTAACGACCCGAATTTTTAATCAGTTTCTCAAACAAGCGAGGCTTTAGACGCGGCGGAGCTTGGGGGGGGTGGGGAGAACCCCGCCATTTTTCGTCGTGCTTTTTAAAAGCTCCGCTCAATTTTTCGGTTTATTTAAGTGCGGAAACCCCCGGCTGGGATTACGTCTTGATACGATGTACGCTCGTGATGATTGAAATCAGGTGGAAATCCGGTGGGATGGGCGGGCGAAGCGCCCTACGGTAGAGGGGGAAGACGGGGGTTTTCATCGGATATTGATGTAGTACTTTTCTTAGCGCTAGCGCTCAATTTTTACCGTTGCCTTTTCATAGATATAAGAAAGAAATATTTCCAATGCTTCAAACACCTTAACCCTTAAACCTTAATAATATTAATAAATAGTGTTTATTAATTATTATTTATTATTTGGCACACTTTTAATTTTACTTTTTTACTAAAATCGAAGAAAAAACAATTTGCTTTCACGAACTGCACTGTGTTATCATTAATGGCAATGGTGACAGAGTACTTCTGTATTTTAAAAAATCAGTAAGGACTCTTCTAAATTTAGGTTACACTCACAAAGTTGTCAAATACTTTTTAAATCAAAAAATTTACCGTTTGCATTTAAGAAGAAGAATCACTACACTGCCGTGGCTTTTGATAATAGTCTGCTCAAAAATATAAAATCTTTAACTCCTCTAAAGCGGTCGGGGTCTACTACGTCAAACCCTGCACTGTCCAGCAGTACCGAAGTATTTAAATCGGCACTTTCTACTTATATCCCATTTGTCATAAACTTAAGCCGACCGCGCCACACAAAAACTTAGTTTCCTATTTAAAAACAAAAGTGTAAATTCGGGCACATTTCACAAAATTTACATTTTTTTTTACAAAATTTGGTGAAAAAAGTGTTTTTAAAGTTCCAAAATTAACTTACGTTTTTTTTTTTCACGATTTTTCGAATAAATCTCTGCGAATTCCGTAAGAACTTTTCATACTTTTCATTTAAAACAAAAATTAGTAAAAATAAATCCACATCTGGAAAATAAAGGAGACGTTGCGACTGCTGCCTATTGGGCTCGAAGGAAATGTGCCAGTTTTTCTTTTGGCTTTAGACCGCGTAATTGGATAAACAGAAACTTGTGACACATAACCTCACATTTCTCTTACGTTTAACTTGCCCAGAACAATTTTAACATTTTTAGATTGTTAATATACCTTTGTTTTACTAAAATCGAAAAGAAAACGGGCATCTTTATCTGACCGCATAGAGTCTCGGGCGTTAAACGCAGCTTATTTTTGATTCTCCGGGATTTGGCCGGTGGCTTATCGCTAATTTATCGCTACACAAATGTCGACGTAAATCCGGAGGATTTAAAAACAGACTGTCGCACGAGCCGGGAGACTATTTACCGGACTGTTTTGTCACGCCTTTGAACTCTTTGACGACATGGTTATCGAAGTAAGGACACGGCCGTTAGTTTTAGTGGGCAATATTTCATCGCTATGTTGCCGACATAACCTCCGAATTTGCTTCAAAATACCAAAAGTCGTTTTGGTTAATTTTATTAATTGTTTAAGTTTTATTATAACGTATAACATTTTATTTATTTTTCTATTTTTATTTATTTATTACATTTATGCGGAAGTCTTAGCTCTTATAACAGTTTTTGTTAAATTAATTAAAAAATAAAATAAATTAATTAATTAATATTCTACATGTCTCTTCCTTGTTCCGTTTCAGCCAGTCGTTCGCTGTCGGACACGATCAAAACCGAATCGGGAGTGGGGGTCGAGTCCGGCGAGCCCGACGACGGCAAAAACGACAAAAAGACGAAACGTCAGAGACGTCAGAGGACGCACTTCACCAGTCAGCAGCTGCAAGAGCTCGAAGCAACGTTTGCGAGGAATCGTTACCCTGACATGAGCACGCGGGAGGAGATAGCGATGTGGACCAACTTGACCGAAGCGAGAGTCAGGGTAAATAGTCCTTTTTTTATTTTACAAAATGGCGGCTCGATTTTAGACGACCAAGTCCAAAGGAGACCTTAAATATCTAGATTCGTTTCCACCGTCCATTTCCCTAAGTCTCCAATTGCTTGTCTGTTCTCTGTTCTATGATGTCTGTTCTCTGTTGACGCGGCATTAAACGGCCATAACTTTCGAATGGTTCTACCCACGCCGTTCAGATTTGGCTACTTTTAAACAGTCCGTGGGACACATGGGCCACTAAAAAATGGCCGCGATCGGACCTCGGCGACTATCTTTTTTTCGCGATTTTCTAGTACAACGTTACTAAACGCGATAAGTGCCCCAAACTTGTATATCGCCTCTACTTTATGGGTATATTCATCATTTTTTTCATGTAGATTCACCTACTTGAACATTCCGTAAAAGGATTATGAGACACAGAATTTACCTAATAAAAAAAATTAAACTGCATTTTTATTAGAATAATATTTTTTTTATTGCCGATAAAGTTGATTTAATACCGCCAACAAGTTTTTCAGCGAATTTTAGAACTTAGTGAACCTGGCTTTGCATTAATTTGTTCACTATATCGCGAGACTACTGTATTAGCTTTAGCTAAACCTCTTTTAAATATCTTTGATAATGTCTATAACCTTCACAATGGAGTTTCGGAAGAATTAAAATACTTAAGGTTAAACTTATTCAAGAATCTCATTAGAAAGTTTGTTTTTTTTGTTATGTTTGTAATTAGTTTTTTGATGTTTATAATGATACACGATTTTCAAGTGCCTAGAGGAATGAACTTGAACTTTTATTTTTTTATTATGGTTTTATATTTTAAGAAAAAAATCGGGAGACAAAGTATGGAAGGTCGTAATTAGTTTTTGGATGTAATTGCGCTTCAAAACCCAAGACGGTATACTTTGGGACGCACTATACGTCTTCATTTCAACTTTCTCGAGTGCGGATAAACACTGAAGTCATATATCACCACCGGACGAACCAGCAGGCACGAAAAAAAAAAAAAGAAACTATTCAACTATCCATGCGTTTGTTTGTACAGGTACTTCTCTGGGGAGCGGCGACTTTCAAACGCTCGCGACACTCGTAAACACGGGTTTCGGATAACCGTCGGCGACGGTGGTTGTTCACCCTCACGAGATAACAAAAAAAAAATGGATACAATCGCTCCTTTATGTCTCATCGAGACGAAGCTGACAATTTCTAGGTTAGGTTCGGGGTCTGTGCACCCATAGTTCCTGTCTATTTCGACACGAGGAAGTATTTCCAACCGCGGGCAGCGCCCCCTTTTGCTGCGCCAAAACGGTTTATTTGCGAATGGACTATACACCGATATTGACGATTGTTTACCCCGTTCTGGAATTTTCAGTACTTTTCTTATAATTTGCGGTTATCGTATGCTTACAGGTTTCTTCTCGAGACGTACAGGGTGTTTTTAGAATAAATTCTCGAAGAAAATGAAAAAAGCGACAGTAGATGTATAGTGCCGATATAAGCAACAGAAACCGTACATAACCTCAATTTCCTAACCCCCCCGCAGCGGGGGCCCCCCGCGCGTGGCGTCCTAGTGTCCCCCCTGTCTACCAGAGTGCGCTCCGCCCCCCACCCAGCTTGTGTAGTGTCCTGTTTTGCCCCGGTTCCGCCCGTCGCTGCTAGATGTCGCCAGCTTGTGTAGCGTCCTGTTTTGCCCCGGTTCCGCCCGTCGCTGCTAGATGTCGCGCGCTCCGACCGTCGTAGGCCCCCCCGGTAGAGGGCGGTGACGGTGCGGCGCGGAGACGGTGTGGCGCGGTGACGCGGTGGATCGGGTCGTCGGTAAACAAGTCGAGTGACTTATACAGAGTGTCTCAATAATCACGGTTTAATAAAAGAAAAACTATAGATACAATAGTAAATATTTATTAGCTCATATGTAGACAACGTAATGCTTCGTACAAGCGGTGTTTCTGGTCCATGAGATTTTCTACTTCATCGCGGTCGAGGATAATTTCGTCGCCATGATCCTGTTTCAGTATCAACTCACAGCTCTCTTCTTCGTTCGAATAGGTCACCTCGATACTGCTCCCGATGTAGACTGTTATGTCGTTCCAGAACATGATTTCTCCCACCTCGTCCTCCAGAAAGAACAAAAAATCCCAAAAATCCTGGACTTGAAAATCTATGTGCTTGTTCTTGAAGATGAAACGGACACCTGAATTCTTTATTTCGAAAATCGTGTTTTCATCGATAGTGACCACTTTGTTACACATTGTGACAAACAGACTGACTTCGGTATCAAATTCAAATGTACTTATATATCAACAACCCCCCACTATCGGTGTAATTAAGAGAGATATTTACATTTAGTCAATTTGAATAAGCATTTTGTCAAAAGAAGCAAACAAGCGCACGTAGTTACATATAGCGGGATTAAAATAGTTTTTCGACCTGCCGAGATGTTGTATTCGTTACCGCAAATGTCGTTAACGCCGCCGCTGGTGTTATTGGAATTCTTGATAGCGATCGTTTGCCATTCGCCGTGGTCTTCGTAGCTCCGGTTCGCGAAAACGAAACGTACCTTGTAATTTAAATACGGCTTATCTGCGGTAGTGTTATTCGACAATGTCTCGCTAAAAGTTTGTAGCTTGTCGATTCCGTTGACCTGAGCGAGTTGCATACGCGTCCACGTATCGGGCCAAATGCACCGATTATTATGATTTTTGAAACAAACGAACGCTTCAATCACATCCTTAGGTTTATGTATATAGAAAACGTTTTGTACCACAGCCGACAACAAAACAAAGTGAGCACTTAACAAAACCATGTTTCTAGCCCGAATGAATCTATCCTAGATCTCGGTAACTGCTTTTATAACACTCAAACAATAATGACATTTATTCTGGGGAGGTGCCGGGCCGTCGATATGCATTTTGCTGTCCGGTCTGTTATAGTGAACAAAGCAGGGCAAATGAGTTTGCAATTCAAAATTGTTGCGATGTCGTACTGGTAACTTATGCCACATATTTAACAAATCGTGCGGTCTCACATGCTCCAAGAAATGTTGCACAGGAATCAATTCAAGTTGTTCGGTATCCAAGCTTCTAAAATCGTCGAAGAAAACTAACTTCTTATTCATTGTTGTGAAAGATCGATAACTTTCTTAACAAATCCCTAATTTGTTTAAAGACACTCTCTGTGGGACAATTAATTGCGACAAGACTCAAGTCTATTTCACCGACTCTCGTTAATTTATTCAAAAATTCGTTGTATTCGTAATACGTTTTCTCTTTGAAAAAATACAAATGTCCGTTGGTGTATCGAAACGCGCCCGACAAATCGTCGGGCAGACCCGGAAACAGTTCCGTAGTAAAACCGTGTTCACTCGCACTCAAAGAACACTCGTCTATTTCTGCATAGTAGCGTTTACCGTAAAATATATACGTTCGACCGCCATACGTATTAAAAATAGCGTTCACTGTTTTACCCGCAGGCACACCCAGTCGCTGGACGCTTTGTCGGTCGCCCACTACCGTGAAACTCGGGAAGTGAAGTAAATAAAACGAATCACCGGTGACTACCAAAAGTTGTCCGTTGGGTCTCTGGTAGATATGCGAAATAGGAGCGTAAATAGGGACATAATCTGATATCATTTTAGGTTCCATGTAGACTTTATCACCTAATCTTATTATCCAAACCCATTTGTCGTAAAATAGATACATATGATGGTTAGACGTAACCAAAAATATGGATGGATTTACGTGACACAAATCTGGTACTTTTGTTTCGTTTTTCCCTATCGGAGGTTTCGTAGTTGTGGTAGTAGTGGTAGTTGATGTTGTTGTGGTCGGAGTTGTTACGCGGACGGTGGTTGTGGTTTTTTTACCATATAAACGTTGAAGACCTGCAACATCGTCGTATGACAATGTCTTAGAATTTAAGCTATACCAAGGGTACATAATGGCATTGCGATCGTTACTGTGCGCCAAACCCAACGTATGTCCAATTTCGTGGAACAACACAGTAAACAAGCTCGTTTTTCCTCCGGGCGCAGGCACTTCTAAACCGTAGTACCAATCTTCGGATTTATCCAAATGAACTTCCACGCACTCTTGTTGTTGATTTGGAAAAAATGCATGTCCTAATATGTTACCCCTTCCGTCAAAAGCAAAAGGACAGGATTCGTTCCCTTTACATCTTATGCTTTGTCTGTGGGTAGTATATTTGTCAGACATCAAAATCATTATATCCGGCTCTGAATAATTTAAGAAAAAATTTAAATTTGATTCATCACTCCATATTTTAAAAACCTCGGTTGCCAGCACTTTTAACTCTTGATAGTGACTGGGCGGTACTTGAATATACCAATTTAAATCCGTTTTCTGCCATCGCGAAACAGTCGTGAAGGCATTTTCTATTACACCACATCGGGGTTTATTTATTAGTTCGACGGTTTCGTTATTAAGAGTACCATCCACCGGTAAATTATAGAAATCCTGAAAATCCATTAGGGCACGTTGCAAACTCGACGCATTGATCTGCGTTAAAGATTCGTTGTCGTTAGGTGAAAGGAATCCGAATTTTTGTAAATATTCAATCACACCTTCCTCGGGCAGCGCGGCGACTATCGTCGACACGTCCGAACAGGTAGTAAAGACAGCGTAGCATAGCAACAAGACTCTCATCTCGTTCAAGGTCAGTAAAATACTAAAATGTATTCGGTTCCTAGCTAATCTTTTATAGGTAAAATAACAAAGAGAAGTGATGAACCAAACGCTTTTAGTCGCTATTTTGCGTGAGATGACGCAGAATATTACTCGAGAAATGGAACGAAAAAAGAATTATACTTCAATAGATTACAGTTTCGCAGTTTGTATTCATATCATAGCATTAGCGTGCTTTATTTTTACGTGTAAATGTATTATTAATTTTTTTGGATTGAAATAAAAAGTCTTATTTAAATAAAGAAAGTTTTATTTCATACAGGGATCCTTGAATACAACCAATTATATAAA